CTTGTCTTTTTACTCATCTTCTATTTGTACACTAAGGCTCGAGTTGTCCCTGGGGAACTAAATGAGTTGAGCGCTTTGCTATTTCCTGTACCGAGGCTCGTGAACGCATACTCGTAGTTCACTCACAGTGATCGAACCCGTCAGCCGTGCGTGTGGTGCTGGTCGAGAGATCCATTTTGCGGTGGCACGGCAGGGGCGAGATATCAGTTGGTATTATTTGCGGGGGATTCATACAAGAGCAAGCTGATTTGATCGCTCCCGTCGCCAGAAGCTGGAAATTGGCGTCAGCGATCGCTTGACGCTGATGCATTTTGGCGCGGTCGGGGCGACCAAATAGCAAAGGAGTAGGCTCTGATTCTGTTTACTGCCTGTTCCCTTACACTCAAGAATGTACCCAGAAGCTTTCAAATGCCATGAAATACTTGGCCAATAGAGAAAAGCGGTAGAGTAAATGGTGAATGGTCTCGGAAATTAAATAAAAACGGCGCAGACAGGTCGTGTCCCATTTGACAAGGCGATGGGTTCTTTAGTCGAATGCTATGCATTTGAAAACTTTGGAAGTGAATCGATTTAGCGTGGAAGTGCTATAGTACGTCGAATCAGCTAGCCAGAAAATAGCCGGCTAATTTGTGCGCTTCGCCGCAACGACGACGTGAATCTCCCAAACGCTGTCCTACCACTTCGCACCCTCCAGCGTTGCGCATACCGCGTTCCTCTCATGCTGCCAGCTTCGAGTAAGCACGTAATGACCAAAATAGGGAAGGGTTAGTACTGTAAGTAGGAGTGGATAAAGAAACGTACTACAGGGTGGGACCTTTCCATGAGCTCGTTCACAATGATTGCGTAGGCATCATTCGGGATGGGACAGGGTCAAGACAATCGTAAGTTTCCGCTTCATCACGCTCCACGGGCGCGGCGTTTTCTTAGTTTGCATAAACTGGTCAGTTGGAGTGTAGGATTTCTTGTATACCACGACATCCCAGACGGTTATGACTATTTATGGTTAGATATTGTTTTTTGTCGCCATCTGCGACCTAGAAACATCGTCATTAGCAGGCGCGATGTCGCACGCGACGCCCTTCAGCGCAGCGAATTACGATTGTCGTGTCACATGCCCAGTAACGCATATCCGCGATGCTCTTGGTCTGGACTTTCCAACTTTCCAGTACCTGTGATTGTGAGTTAATTACCTTCTGCTAGGCGCTGGCTTCATCAACAAGGATGGATTTTCCCTAAGAAAAAAAACTTGTAATTACTTGGCTAGAAATAACCAAGTAATTACGAGTTTTTCGAGTGCTTCCCTCCTCTGTTCTACCCACACATTGGTATGTTCGTAAAACCGAGAGGAAGACAGTCGACTGATTTTTTCCCAAGAAATGACCACGATAAATATTTCTATACGATTCCAGCTGACAGGGCGTTCTGAGGGTAATTTGCATAAACTAATGAACAAACTTTTTTTGAATCGCATTTTCAGCTGATCGATGGTGGTCATTGATGCCGCTGCCCGTTGATGTTCATGGTATTATTGCCGTTTTCTGTGGGAAAGATCCTTTGGGCGCTTTTGTATAGAGTGTTATGTAACTGTGTTTCTTTTTTGTTCTATAAAATGTACTATGAGGGTGTAGTGTTTCATGCTATATCTTGTTTGTAATGAAGTTTTTATCTCTATCAATTTCTTTTTTCTTTGGGTCTCTTGCCAAACGAGATGTATCAGCCGAGTGGCAGTCAGCTGATTGACAATTCAGCTGCCGTCCATCAAGCCATGTTGCCTGTATAATTTCTCTGATGTCATATGAATCGGGAAGGATGTGACGAAATCGTGAAGAAGCGCTATTCCAATAGGAAGATGGACAAGACAATCGCAGTTTGTCGCTCCGTCGCGCGCGGCGTATCGTGCGCCCATGTGCGCCAAATTTTCGGTGTGCATCAGTCTTTCAATTGGTCAGAGGGACAAGACTCCATGGCGAACGATATATAATCCTCCCGTGCTTCTAACACTCATATCCAAAAGGCCGGATTCAACAGCTCAAACTTAATCCCATGAAAAACGCGTCCTATGCTACGTTGGGATGAAAAATGCAGCCACGCCTTCCTCCCCCCCCATCTTCGCCACATAGGGTATACGCTGTGCAGGCATGTCCCACGAAGTCCTCCAGGATATGGGGGAGGGGTGCGCTGTGCATTCACGATTGCAGTTTTGGGTCTATCTGATAATCAGGATAGAAGCAGCTGTTTTCCCCCTGAGGCACTTTTTAGTTGCAATATTGCCAGCTAGATTACTGTTTTGCCATATTTGGCCTCCTCCATGCTGCCTGAAGACAGTCCTCCCAAGCAATTCCTAGGCGTCCTTGTTCAAGTAATTTGTTCTGCAGTCACGAGGACTGTCCCACTACAGTGAGTAACGAAGGCGCTGCGATCTTCATAAATGGCAGTTCTGACGCCTCCGTAGTGTCCCGCCCACCGAGCTCAACGGCTATTTTCTGTCACGAACTGAGTTTCCATACGGAGTTTTTCATTTTTCGTCTTCTTTTCATTGTCAGATGGTATCAGCATTGGATGACGTAAAGAAACGATCAGTAAGTTGGGCAGAATATCGCTTCTCTGGCAGGGAACGAGCAGGTTCGGACAACTCGTAGAGTGAGGCTGCTAGAGGTGATTACTTTGGGTGTTCTCGATTTTTTTTGGCTTTTTACGAAGGGTCATCAGCGACTAAAGGTTTGTAGTTGAACCCCGCTGTTCATGTTTTCTCTAGGTCCCGTATATAGCTGAGGTCAAACCAGGGCTTCTCGTTGCCTCCTTATCGCTTTATTTTGCTGTGGATACACTGGTCTGCCACAGATGGGCAGGAGCTGCTATTGATTCCTTCCCGCTATCAGTGATGGGATCGCCTGGGTAAACAAATGCTTCATTTTGCAAGGTCGACAAGGTTCTCCTGGCGTCAGTGGTGTGTTTGCCATACGCCGTTAAAAGTGACCTTCAAGGCTTTCCTTTCACTCGGGGTTTAGTATTGGTCAGGATACTTCGATGAGTCGATCACAGCGACAGAGTCCGATGGTTTAATACACAAATAAATGAAGGATGTGACATAAATAAACGAAAGATGTAATGGTGAATCAGTCTTCAAGAACACGTTTTTTTCAGTTCAACCCCCACCTTGCCGTCTCAGCGTCACACCATCATGTGGAAGACAGCTTTTGTAGGATACGCCCTTTCCCCATAGTTTCCTCGTCTGCCGCAACCCCCTTTCTCCATCAACAATCAGAACTTTTTTCCTCATGACGAAATACGACTCCCTCTCTCCTGCGGCTCATTACGACTGTGGTTGCGTTCTACGCTACGGAGGCTGAGCCCGGGAGACGGGCAAGAGAATCGTAATTGCGCCGCACGCGGCGATGGGCGCGGCGTTTTCTCAACTCGTGTTAACCTGTCGATTGGAGCACCGGACTTCATGTAGACCCCGTCATCGTAGACATTCATGACTATTTTCGGTTCTGAATTGCCTGTTGTCGCCATCTACTACCTGGAACCATCGTCATTTGCGGTGCGACGTCGCACGCGACGCCCACCAGCGCGGTGAATTTACCTCTTGTCACATACCCGCTGAGCGTTGCTTGTCATGAACGTCTAGAGGGGACAGTGATAGGGAGAATAAAATAAGAGTGCGATTCGGGAAGCGTCGGGAATTGTGATGATGGAAATTCCTGATGTTGGCTGCTGAGATATCGATAGTGGTGAACGATCTTAGGCAGCGTTCAGACTTCGCACTCAGCGCGCTGCGACGCGCTATCACCGCAACAGCGCTAGACGCGAATGCAGCCGCTTAAAGCAATCGATCAGCCGCCGACCGGCTGTCGTGGAAGAGAGTATATGAATAACAGAAGGGCAGCTAAGTGCCAATGGATTTTTGGACTGCGCATTACGCCGTACCCTCTCTGTTCGGCCAGGTATTCTCTTCAATGAGTGCAGGCGGAGCCGTGCAGATTGATTCTTGCCGATGACTGCGCGCGTTCGCGTAACGTAGCCTTGGAGGCCGCTGTTGGGCAATTCTAGCGCGTCCAGCGCGTCGAAGGCGAAGTCTAACGCTGCCGTGCACACAATGCATACTGATGAGGAGAATGGCTTGCTAAGTGTTGGGACTCGACATACTGCAGAGTAGTTCCCTTAGTAAGGAAGTCTTGCTGCGATTGTCGCCATGTGACGCGCGCTTCGCCGCAGCAGGCACGGCAGTCAGATTCCTACACTACAGTGTTGGGCCCTGCAAGCACTGAGTAGTTCAAGAACGTCCGAACCAGTGGCGTCGCCAGAGTCCGCGTTCCTATCTAGTTGATCTGACACAACGCGTTGGGTGTGAGGCGGTGGTCCTGACTTGGCATCGCAAGTATTCGGTCCACTCGGGAATAGATCGTAGTATTGGCTATGGGCCTCTTGCAGTTTTTGGTGAACTTATTCAACGGCCTAACGCCTCGACAGGGTCGTTTTCTCTCAGAGGCCTGACGTGTTTCGAGTTAAGGAGATGAACACTACCCCGTTCAAGTGCCCAACCAACCCTAGCAGTTCCGATGACGTGTTCGGAACTCCAC